CGCTACAATGATTCTCGGTTCAGGGGAGCGATCGCGTGCACCGATCGAATTCGAATTCGAGAAGGAATATGCCATCCGATACCACTCTTCGTACATGATCAATCTATGGTCTGAGGGAAACTATCCTATAATAAATAAGCATGAACCATGAAACCTGTAGAGTAGAGACGTATGAGAAGTCGACCGATCGAATTCGATCGTGCACGCGATCGCTCCCCTGTCTACAATGGTCGTAGTCGTAAGAATAATCGACTGCGATTGGTCAATTCTTATGCGACTGACTGAATTGACCAATCGCAGTCGATTATTCTTACGACTACGACCATTGTAGACAGAACCGAGAATCATTGTAGCAGAGTCTTTATAATTGACTATGATTGATCAATTCTTATGTGTCTAATGAAATTGACCAATCGCAGTCGATTATTCTTACGACTACGACTCTGCGACTCGCATTGTAGACCACGCATTAAGGCCATTCTACAATTGCGTAAACGTAGTTGTAGGGTTGTAGGAGTAGAAGTAGTAATAAGTATTGTACATACATCAAAGTAATATACAATAGAGTGAGATACGTCGTAATTGAAATGAATGATTAGTTAGCTTTTACGTCCTACATTATTGTAGTCGTGAAAGATCAAGTTCAGCCATTTTTTACAACAGGCTTTACAATCAGAAATGCTATGTTTAAAACTGTGTTTTACAACACTGTACAACCGCTAATAACCACGTTTACGCAATTGTAGAATAGCCTTTAAGGCTTAGGCTGGATTCACATGGAGCGTAACTTGCGTAGCGTAACCTGCGTATCACCAATCACAGGGTCATTCTGATAGAACCGTTTCAATAATTCCGTTGAACTAGTCCTGTGATTGGTGATACGCAGGTTACGCTACGCAAGTTACGCTCCATGTGAATCCAGCCTTACGCCGCATGTAATCGCACCCTGAGTTAATTGTGCGTTACTTTAAAACAGAGACTGAAAACGTAAAACATTGTCTCGGGAGTAGAAAACAAGCATTCTCCTCAGGCCTTCGGTATAATTAAGCTATCTCCTTCAATTATCAAGACAAGTGGCAACTTATCGCGGTGGCAAGTTTGCGCGGCGCCGCGCGCGGCGTGTCCACCAATGGGATCGCGGGGCGAGGCGGACCGGTGGATGTAGCGACGCATCGCATCGCGCCGCGCCGCGCCGTCGTGGTCGGCGAACTTCAGACGATCGAATCGCGGCTGTGTCGCGTCCCTCGGCACGCTTAACCGCGTACTGGAACGAAGAGTCTCTTGCCAACCGCTCTCCTCCGCCTCCGACGGCTCCGGTCGTGCTGACCATGCCAAGTGTCTGCAGGGAATCGCACGGATCACATCGCGGCCGGTACGCACGCACTTAGTTAAGAACCAGGCGATCGGAGAGAAAATCGCGGCCTGCGAGAAGCCCAAGTGCGAGTGCAAACCCGGAGAGGCGATCCACCGCGCGGCGGCCCGTCGTCGGACACGCACGGCTTTATCGATACACTTTCGGCGTCACAGGCCCTGCGGCGCCTATGCATATCTCCAGGTAACCGATCACGGCGGCGCCGCTCGTTCCCCTTTCCCGCCACGGCGTTCCCGGTCCCGCCAGGCACCTCGCGGGTCCCCCTCGAGCTACGCGAGACTCTTGTTTACGTCGTGGCTTGTATACGTGCACCGTGAGCTGACATAACCTCGCGGGCCGACGGCCGTCCCGCGGTTGTCGGATGTTCGGATAATCAGTACGGCCCGTACGCGCACCGACGCGGCGTCGAACAACTCGGCATTTTGTCCCGCCCGCGTTCCGCCCGCCCGTTCGCCCACCGGTCTGTTGCCAAACACGCCGTGCAAAGGGACTTCCCTGGGCTTTCCCCTGTTTTCGCCGATCGTCACCCGATCTGTCCGTTTGGACCGTTGTCGCGTCAACACTTTTGTCTTAAGATCGGGATGTAACCCGGAGCTCATTTTTTTTTAGTGTGACAGTACTGCGTTAAACCAGCGATACGTTAAGCTGTTTAGCTTCGAGCTTTATATATTTCATGAGATTTTTGGAGCGTACTACGAGGGTGCGAGTTGCTCTGAACCGATTTAGAAAGTGCAGTTTAAGGTATCCCGTATAAACCATAAATCTCGTGGTTTCATAGAAATTTATATAAATGAAAGACTCATTTCTCTTCCGAGCGTTACCCCGTTTGTTGTGTTTTCTAAGAACAAGATTATCCTGTCAAATGTAGCGTATACACGAGATAAGATATTGGTGACATATTACTTAATGTAGACCTCGCGAAAACAAAACAGACGGAATCGTCGAAGATATGAAAATCGCGGTCCCCTGTATTGTAAAATCCTCTTTCAACTGAAACAAATGTCTTGTGGATCTCTACACAGATAAATGTCGCATTACAGAATTTGGACCGTGTTCTAGAATACGTTAAAGCTAAAGCGCTTGGTTACATTTGGTTGGTTTACTGAGCAGCCACTATGTCTGAAATCATATACCCGCAAGGGTGCAGATCGGTCACCGAGGATTTAGGCCCGGACGAGCTGATCAGGAGACTCAAGGTAGAATTAGAGAAAGCGTGTACTCCACTACCGCGACAAAGCAGTAAGCTATACACAAGACACAGTATTAAGATGTGACAAATTGTGCAGACGCTGGCGCACACGTTGCAAGCTATGGGACAAGATGAGGGAATGTACCAGCAGTACATTCCGCTGGCGCTACATTTGGCAGAAGAACACTTCCTGATGCACCAGAGCAAAGACGTGCAACTCTTGATCGCCTGCTGTATTGCGGATGTCTTACGAGTTTACGCGCCAGAGGCTCCTTATAAAGACGCCGATCAGGTAACCATCGGGGTGGAACGATTTGTCGAACGACTCGCCAATCATTCGCGCCGACTAACTCGATAAGGATCGTCGATTGAACCGAACGGTTTGTCACCCGTTTGTAATGCGTTCTAGGTCAAAACGATATTCTTGTTCCTCATTAAACAACTGGCGGGCTTGAAAGATCCTAAAGATCCTGCTTTTAAGAGGTACTTCTACCTACTCGAAAATCTAGCATATGTCAAGTCATTTAACATGTGCTTTGAGCTTGAGGATTGCCAAGAGATTTTCTGCGCGTTATTCTCCCTCATGTTCAGAATTGTCAAGTGAGTATACCCGAAGACGAGGAAGGAAAAATAGACTGTTAAGATTTCTGCAATGTGACGCGATTGACGCTGCTTATTTCTTTAGCGATGAACATTCCGGCAAAGTTAAGAGCTTCATGCTGGATGTTTTGTGCCCGCTCATCACCGAGTCGGACATCGTCAGTAACGAACTTTTAGATATCATACTCATGAATATCGTAGAACCAAACAAAACGCAAAAGAAGAATGCATACTTGCTGGCTAAAGAGTTGGTAGTCAAATGTAGCGATACATTAGAACCGTACATTCAGGCGGTAAGTAACGAGGGTGCTGAAAGTCTATCAAGAAATGAATGTGTCCACATTTAACGGTGCTAAAATTTTGTAATGCTTTCACAGTTTTTCAATCATGTCTTAATACTGGGTAAGGAGGAGAAGAGCTTACAAATCTGCAAGAAGGTATACGACCTGATCTACGAGTTGAACCACATATGTCCGAGTGTCTTGCTGTCCGTCCTGCCGCAACTAGAATGCAAACTAAAATCCTCCTCTGAGAACGAAAGATTGGGCGCTGTGGCATTGCTGGCTAGAATGTTCTCCGAAAAGGGCTCACAGCTAGCCGTGCAGTATACGCCGTTGTGGCGGGCGTTTTTGGGACGGTTCAATGATATCAGCGTGTCGATTCGTATTAAGTGCGTGCAGTACTCGATGCACTTCTTGCTAAATCATCCGGAATTGAGGAAGGATATCACGGATACTTTGAAACTGAGGCAACACGATGCCGACGAGAGTGTCCGCTACGAAGTTGTTATGGCTATAGTAACGACTGCCAGGCGAGACTTTGAAGTTGTGTCAGATAGCGAGGATCTGCTCGAATTTGTCAAAGAAAGGACTCTGGATAAAAAGGTAGAGTATTAAATCTAACAAAGCTGTTTAAGTTTAATATTTGGGTTTACGGCCTGAGCTCACTAATCATTTTCTTCCCAGTTTAAAATACGGAAAGAGGCGATGTCTGGCTTGGCTATGATATATAAGAAACATTTGAACGACGCTGATGTGCCGCAGGCCACAAAGAAAGCGGTTATTTGGATAAAAGATAAAATATTGCATGGTTATTATATGGCGGGCATGGAAGACAGATTGCTGGTGGAAAGATTGCTAAATACGTGTCTAGTACCTTATCAATTACCAGCTGAAGAGAGAATGAAAAAATTGTACCACCTCTTAGGTACAATTGATGATCATGCTTCTAAGGCGTTTGTGGAACTGCAGAAGCATCAGCTGGCGTATGTTATGCATTAATTGTTTTAATTTACAAATTGTCATAAAGATGTGCTTCTAATACAAGTTAACTTTTATACATGTTCAGTGTACGAAGGGCGGTAGTTGAGTGGCTAGACATTGTGAAGAAACCGGACGCTAAAAATGAACTAATGACAAAGATTCATCAGATATCGCGCTTCCTGCCAGATCCCATGAAAGTGCAGGAGTTTCTTCAAAAGTTTAGCTCTCACATGAAGAAAGACACCAGATTACTACAGGAAATGGAAACGATTGTGCAACCGAATGTTTCCTGCAAGGAATGCGCTGAAACGATAACTAAGGTTCTCAAAAAATTAGGACAGCCCGTTATGACTAATTTATACTATAATACAATTAAGATGCTGCTCGAGAGAGTAAGCTCCGTCATGATTGATGAAGAGGCAATTCGTGTAAGTGTCTCACTTTCAGTTTATTTTATTTTAATTTCTGAAAAAGAAACATTTGATACTTACATACGTCTGTAAATCAGGTTTTGATTGGATACGTCCTAGACTGTTTGAAGGGAGGTAATGTGATAGAAGAAGTCGGTCTCAATCCGAATAATGCTGGTGAGAAAGGACTAAGACTATTAGTGGTAAGTCGACAATTCGCTATCATAAAAATAAATACTTGAATTATTTAATAAAAATTTTTTAAGAGATAAAAGATTAAAAGATAAATTAATAAAATGTGATAAACACAAAGTAGAAGGAATAAAGACTAAAGAGCCGTGACAGGATGTTAGTGTCTAAATAATAATTATTTTAAATTTATTACGAAAAATATTACCACAGCTAGAGTTTAAACCTGGACCTCCTGTCACGGCTTTTTAACTTTTATTCCTTCAAATTGAAAGATAATTTTGTAATTGAAAACACATCCGAAATATTTCAGATGCTCTCATTTGTATTCGGTTCACATTTTCTTCATAACGATATCTTGTTGCAATTGGTCAATTTGCTTGAATTAGAGGATGAAATGGTAGCACCGCTAGTTCTCTCTATCTTTACGTTCTTGGGGAAATATAAACCTCTGAGCGATGTAGCACCGGACATTATGAACCTTATGGTACCGATGTGCAAGAATTTTTCTGAGACGGGAACACCGAAGCAGGCAAAGCAAGCTGTGAGATGTTTGTTTGTCAATATGACCAATATTCACGATACTATCTTTCCCGAGATCATCGAGAGAATTAAGAACACGCTGACGCCGACGTCGGAATATTATCGGACGTCTATAGTCACGTTAGGTCACATAGCGTATAATTTGCCAGACAAATATCAAGTACAAATAAAAAATATGGTGTCCAGGAAAGTAAGTGCAATACAGTTGTATGGTTAACAGCTGCGGATGAGCTTTCTAGTGCTTTATTGTACACGGTACGATCTTTACTATTGCAGATAGTTAAAGAATTACTAGTGAAGGAAAGCAGCGAGCAAACCTCCGAGGCTATCGAGGGAGATTGGTGCAGGGAGGATCAATTACCCGAGGAGACACGATGCAGATTGGAAGGCTTGAAGTGTATGGCACGTTGGCTGTTAGGATTGAAGACCGATGTATTGTCAGCGCAAAAGACGTTCAGAATGCTTAATGCTTTCATGGTGAACAAAGGTGACTTGCTGTCACAGGGACGTTTGAGCAAAGCTGAAATGAGTTGGTTGCGATTGCAAGCAGGTTGTTCAATGCTGAAGATATGTGAACAGAAGGGCGTCGGCGATCAATTCACTGCAGAACAATTTTATAATCTCTCGCAACTCATGGTGGTACGTTCAGCGTGAATTTGTTCTTACGTTTGATATAATGAAAGACAAATTTCAATTATTCAATTTCACTTCATTTATTTTAATACATTGACTTGGTACTCAGGATGAAGTCCCTCAAGTCAGAGAAGCTTTCGGTAGTAAACTGCACAAAGGTTTGGGAAGAGGAATTCCGAACAAATGTCTACCACTGGATTTCATGGGATATTACGCTCTGGCTGGTAAGGAACAGGACAAAAGATTAAAATGTGTATTGAAGACATATATGCAGACGGACATAAATAAAAGAAGGGATTATGTGAAGACTCTTTCATTGGGTACTGTTGAGCGAGCTATGGGTAAGCAATTAAATAGTAAGGCAGTAAAGCATAGTCGTTTAGGCAAATTTTGTGTATTGTGTCTACCAATTCGTCAACCATTTAATCCACCAATTTTTCTTATTACTTTGTAATTTCTCAGATCAACTGCCCCATATTTTGCCGGATTACATGCTGGTTTTCGCGGTACCCATTCTCGCGCATGATCCCGAATTCACGAGTCATATAATGGTAACCCAGTTGAAAGTTATTCAACAATGTCTTTGGTTCATCTTGGAGCCTCTTATCACGAAGAACGAATATTATTGCTACGGATTTTACAAAAATCTTGTGGAACGTATGAAGAGCCACAAAGATGCATTAAAACCTGAGGACAACGAAATGAATTATGTAATTATTGTATTAAATTTGTCTAGCTCATTCCATGTAATCGTTTGCGTTTAAATTAATTTTTATTTTTGCCACGTACAGAAATTGTGGGCTGTTTGTGACTTGGCAATGAATGTAATATACACCAAGACTACCAATTTTGACTTGAAAGAGTTCCCGAGCGAAACGCGGATTCCCACGATGTATTTTAAACGATCAGATGAAACATTGCACAATCAGAAGATCTACTTACCTGCCGAATTGCAAGTGAACATGTCGAATCCACCAAAAGGAAGGGGATCACATTTCCACCACTTTTCCACAGTTAGTGAGAGACCACAACGCAAGACTAAATCCAAACAACAGAAGGAAGTAGGCATTGGACCTAATGAAACAGATGCAAGGGTAAGATGGTTTTTTAAAACGATTGTTTTTGGATGTACTTAGTTTAATGTAAAGTCGTAGCTCGATACATACGTAAAATGATAGATATTCCTATTAATTGTATTACGGTAATATTAACAAAATAATGGTGATGGAACATCATACAAATTTAATACTTCGAGTACGTATAATTGTGATTTCAAGCTGCAAGTTGGAGAAATGGAATGTATCGATGCACAGGTAACTTGGACATAATATCAAAACAGAATTGTGTGCTCTGTAAAAATGCCCTTCCTCTAAATATCCCAGTGTTTAAGTGTGAAAAATTTATGTGTGTAAGATGTATTTAGGTAAATTTATTTGCAGCCTGCGGAAGCATCAGAAACCAGGATTCAACTGCCAGGTTTAGAAGAAGAGGTAAATCACTTCTGATTGTTGACAAATCCTTTAATGCAAAATGTCTAGTGTTATTTTTTTTGTATTTTAGATCGAGGAACCACCAGCAAAGAGGGCATTAAGGGAATCGGATAAAGTAAATAAATAATTCAGTGATCGGACTATACCCGGGGGAACATTGGGACGGGGACAGACTTAAAGAGTATGATGATAAGAAAATTAAAAATCTAAAGGATACTTTACAAATTAGAAAACAGAATATTTTGGTTATGTATAACAATAAACCTAAGTCGTTCGTCTATTTCTAGAGTGTAAGATGTTAAGATTATGACACAGTAACGTCAGGCTTATAATGCAAAAAGTTCTTTGGACTTGCAACATGTGAGCAAGAAAGAAAAAAAGAAACAGAACGAAAAATTCATTAATTCTTCACAAGGATCAGTAAACACGTCTATTTCGTTAACAACAAATTATTCAATATTACATATTCGTATCTCTCTCTTGTTACTTTTATGAATAATAGAATCATTAAAGTAAATCATATAACAAAAAAACCCTTTACATGGCCCATATATATATATATAGCCAGAAAGAAAATTTTTTGTAAGTTTGTAACAAATTTAACCTGGATGAAACCATTCAGTATATGATGATTCACATTTGCACTATAATATATAAACATTTTTTATATCTATATTTCGCGAATGTAATGAATGCTATTACAGGATTATTTTGCTGAAAAATAGCATCTTCAACAAGCAAGTATATACATAAATATTGACTACATACTTTATTAACAAAGTAAAAATTTTCTTTTAACGAGAAACACCCAGATATATCCACTAAATCGTCACTTTATAAACAGCCAAGGAGAATACTATAGTTTTGTTGCATAAATGATACATATTAGATAAGAAGTTGTGTGTCTATTGGCTTTGCGATCTAAAGTTGTTGGTTTTTAGTAATATAATTATCGCTACACTTTAGGCGCGATTTTTATGATTGATACACATAAAGTATCTATGTGTAACAATGAAAGAATATTGTGAAAACATGCAAAAACCTTCAACTTTTGTATTTATAAATAAACATAAAAATTATACAGATTGCTAAACATTATTACGTAATACCTTAATTTATGTCAATGTATATGCAATTCTTACAATTTACAAGTGTGAAGAGATTGAAACGCGTTTTAATTTTATTTATTAAACATTACAAATGTTCGAAAGATAGAAGGAAGATTTTTGGATATGAATTACGAATGGAACTTTGAGAGAGTAAAGTGGGCCTAGGTTTTAAAGATTTAAGTTTTCAGCATTATAATTATTAAACTTAAACATTCAACTGTCTTAAATTTAAACATGAATGAAACTTGCGCATGAATTCACGAATGATGATGGATGATTGAAATCGCATAAATATTATAGAATTAACATATACCTATTACCTTTTCACAGAAATTACAGTACCAATGCATCTTCGACATGGCATAATTTTTCAAAAATCTAAAATGTATCATTTTGTTTCTCTTATAATTATTACTATTGTTCTTTTTTTCATATCATCAATTTTCTCATTAAATACATATTTTACATTATCCGTCAATAAATATATTTGTATTTATATGTATAATATATTGATTGGCATTAAAATAATTAAAATGCAAAGAAAATATTTTTGTAAGTGTACGATCCTTTTTCTGCATAGTACTGCAATTTTTTTCAAATAGGTCATAGATTACGAAAAATATACATAATCTGATTAAACAACCAATTAATCAGTGCTATTCATCTGTCGATCTGTGAGACATATGGCGTATTGTAATGGTTCTATAATAAAACAAATCAAGTAAGATGTTGCATGTGTGTGTTTAATCATAGAATTATGATTATATGTGTCGCGCATATATTACAAAATTAGCGTTTTTTAAAAGATTTTTTTGGGCCCTTTCCTTTCGTTGCAAATTTATTTTTCTGTTGAGTCTTAAATGTATTTTGTTTTTTCTTAACGTTTGCCCTGAAACAAAAGAAATTATTATATTATGTATATATTATACATGTGGACAAAGGAAAGTTTTTAAACGTACTCGTATCGCATTCTTTTGACCCCCTTTTTGCTCGTATCCGTTAAATCTGCAGCAAACGATGATCTTGATCGTTTCAATGACCCTAAAATAAAATAAAACAATAAAAAACAATTTATTGAATTAATTCCTGTAATATAAATAAGAAATTATTACTTTTTTTAGCAAAATCACGATTACTCTCTTCCATAACTGTTTTAATTTTCTTCTGCCTATTATTCTTCTTGGCTAGTCGTGCCTGATAAGCGGCTATCTTTTCTAATTCTTTTTTAGCTCTATCCTCAGCTGTATCCTTTTTAGGTTCCTTTTGTGCTTTCTTCTTTTTTTCTTGTACTACATTGGGAGACTCTTTTTCATGCTTTTTACTCTTACCAACTTCTTTCTTAGCTAATCGAAAATTTTCTGAAAATACATAAGTTGATTAATTTCAATGGGGAAAGCTGTTCTTTTTTTCTGTTGCGATATAAAGTATTATATTAAAATATGTTAATGCACCTTTCTCTTGCATTCTTTTCTTTCTAGATTGGAACCAACTTCTTTTATCCTTGTCATCATTAACTTTAAGTAATTTCTCAGCGCGATTAACTTCGTTCTCCACTTTAGCTAATTCTCTCTCGCTCTTTTCCTCTTGCAGAATCCTTTCCACGTCTGGTTCCAAGGCTTGTAATTTCTTATTATATTTCTCTATTATGTCAGGCGGTATTATCCTATTCTTGACAGGATTTTTCGCTTGCTTAATAACTTCTTTTACCAAAGAACGTTCCTGTTCTCCCGCTAATGACACAGAAACACCTCCACGCCCAGCTCTTGCAGTTCTCCCCACTCTAAAAATTACAATAATAATTTTTTTACACATGGACATTGTATGTTAGAAGCTTTACTTCATACCTGTGTATATAATGTTGAAGAGTGGCAGGCATCACGAAGTTAATTACAGTCTTTACACCGCTTATATCTAAACCTCTTGCAGCAACATCGGTCGCTAATAAGATGTCAATTTCCTCATCTTTAAACTTCCGAAGATTCTCCAATCGTTGTGGTTGCGTGAGATTACCATGAAGTTCACCAACCTTAAAGACAGACAAAAAGAAATATATAAATTAATATTATACTCGTTATAAAGATATTATTCTTCTCTGCTTCTTTTGTACTATTATATCCCAATGATTTACTTACTTTCACACCTAATAAGCCCAATAAAATATGTAATCTGTGAGCTTGCTTTTTAGTTTGTACAAAAATCATGGCGTGATCGTGGAAAGTTCGGCAAACTAGTGCTGTTAAGATTGCTTCACGATCTCCCTCTCTTTCCTTACGTATGCTAAAATCATGTTTATTCGATAAACAATAATAATGTATAAGAAATAAGAATTGCACGTAGTTTATCTTACCGTATAAATTCTTGACGCAGATTGAAGGCTACATCTTGGTTGCTGTCCACAAATATTTTAATAGGTTTGTCAAGAGACACCGCAGCCAACTCTTTGACTTCCTCGGTCATGGTAGCCGAGAAGAGGATAGTCTGTCTGGTCCGTGAGCATTGCTTCACAATATATTTCATTTGCTCAGCAAAGTATTCATCTAACATTCTTAAATGAAAAAAAAAATCGGTTAAATATAGTTATTATCTTGTACTGTAGGAAATATATTTGTACACTAATTATTTTACCTATCAGCTTCATCCAGAATCAACACTTCAATACTATCCAGGGAAAAAATAGGCGCATTTCTTAAATGATCGATTAACCTTCCAGGCGTTGCTATTACAATATCTGGATTTTTTCTCAGTACACCTTCCTGTAATGCAATGTAAAAGAATATAGAGAAAAAAAAGTTCTCTATTATGAGATAGGTTTCTAATATAAGATAGCAAGTTTTCAACGCCCACATGCAGTCACAAATCTTTTTTTCGCAACGATTACACAATCTAACAATTAATTTTCCACTAAACAGATTTCGCTCCAAGGGCAATAAATTCATGGTGAAATCAACTGATTGTGCCTGTTAATTTAACAGAAACCCCGCTATCTCATATTGAGATCCTATCTCATAATAGGGAACATATGAAGAATGGTCCGAGCTTGGCTTTGATAATTCACGTAAAAGAAGTTATGTAACAAAGGATAAAATAATTCACCTGTACTTTCACATCCAGTCCACCAACAGACAAACCGACCTCTACTGTAGTAAATTGAGCCAATTGTTTTGTCACTTGATAAACTTGCACTCCCAGCTCCCTGGTAGGCACAAGTACAAGAACACGCGTAACAGCAGGACCGTCCAACGGTCTGTACAATAATCTTTCCAAAGTGGGAAGCATATAAGCTGCGGTCTTTCCTGTGCCGGTTGCCGCACAACCACAGATGTCACGACCCAGTAAAGCTACGGGAATGGTAGCAGACTGTATGGGAGTCGGTTGTACAAAATTCATTGTTGTCATGGCCTAGAATTTTATAAAGCAATCATTATATGCTATACTGTTAATAGATTTTATTCCATCACGTATCAACACATTTCATATCACGCTATCTCAATTGCTATGCTACGAAGTAGCTAACTGCATAATATTACACACCTTAAGCAAAGGCCTGGACAAGTTCATTTGATAAAACGTAGCGTACGTTTGAGAATCCGTACATTCCTCGAAGTCGATGGCTTCCTCGTCCTTTTCTTTCCCAGAATTTTTTAATTTGCTCTTCTTTTTCTTGGTTTTAAACGTGTCTACAATTAATCAACAAGGTATTTTTATATATTCCTTATATCCAAATATAGATATGTACGGCATGTTGCAAATACAAGTCCATTGAGGTCACAATTTCTACAAATGTGTTTTGGATATGTATTGAAAAGTATAATTAGCTGTCTCCACCTTTTTTGAGTTCGTCCTCAGATAGGGAAATCGTATCATCGTCCTCCTGGTCCATTTCCGGTTCAATTTTAATAGGATCATTCTCCGTGCCAGCCTAGCCCAAGCACAACAGCAAATTCTCGTTCGTAATTTCATCAATTTTTTAACAATAAATACTCCATAACGACACCACGTACCTGACCATGCTCCTTCCTGACTTTCTTTATCTTGTCATCCAACTTCGTGTTCGGCTTGCGTTTAATATACTTGCTCAGGTCATTCCAGGGATCCAGATTGTGTTCGGCGGCGGAGAATTGGAAGCCGCTGTCGAAGTCTTTGCTCTCCTTCTTCTTCTGCTTCCGTGGCTGATACTGGACGAAGACCGGGGTTTGGAAGAGAAACGTTAGCGCCCGAGGCGAAACCAGGGATACGTTCACGAAGGACGAAAAATCAACGGTTTTTTAACCGGACGATCGCAAAGCTGTCATCGTCGGTCCGGAAGAGAACGTGAGAAATTTACAATTTTTATCGCACGCAACGCTCAAGCGGCCCGTTATGTTATTTAAGAAAGAAAAGAGATCACGCGACGAAATGAAAATGCGACGCTCTCGAGACGAGCAGCTCGCGTCGTTTTAACGCAGGCGTTCCGTTTCAACTTACGTCGTCCTCCTCGTCCGAATTCTCCGAATAGTCCGGCACCTCCTGGTCATCCTCGATTGTCTTCATCAAATCGCAGTTGCTCGTCATTTCTCGCTGCCAAGGGACGAGATACCGGGCGGGAAGAAGACACGCGGCGCTCCCTTTGGAGGTTATAGTCACCAACACGTGGACGCGCACATAGGCGTCGGCGTGAATGAACGTGAGAATATTTTTCCCGACCAATTTCGACTACGCCGTTGCTCTGTGAAATTAAATTAATATATCACAAAATTACGCGCGTCTCTCGTGGAAAATCGGGGAAAGTCGTTGCCTCGCGGGAAAAGACGAAATTCTACAAGCAAAATGGCTAAGCAACGTAATTATATCCACACTAATTTTTAGTTTCGTTAAGAGACTTTTTTTATTTAATGTTTCCGATAATTTCTCGGCACGCGCGCGCGCGCGCGCATGTGTGCGCACCTTTTTACGCGCCCGTTTATCGATTGGCAACGTCGTACGCACCTTACTTCAGATCGTTCCGTTCACGCCGCGGAAATTGGCGGGAAACGAGAGAGCTCGCCCTCGCTTCGCCCGTTAGAAAATGTCTGCTGTGTGACGTATCGTTTGTTTCCTACGCGCACGTGATAAACATCTCGCCGACATGGGTATTTTAGGCTTATCGAAGCTAATAGCCGACGTAGCTCCGGAAGCTATCAAAGAGCGAGAACTGAAGCATTACTTCGGTACGTGGGGCTGTCGACCGTCTCGCGTTTCCGCGCCTTCAACCGTGAACCGCGATCGACACGAGGCTCGTTTCCTATTGCTGCACGCACTGGTCAACCGGTGCGATGAAATAGCAGCGAATTCGGCAGCTTGCACTAGTGCGCACTGAGACTTATTCAGAGTCCACTATTGCATATATTTTCTAACTCGACTCTGTCTTATTAGACGACGATGACTGACTTAGGTGCATTACTGAACTTTTGACTATTTAACTAAATAAATATAAGAATTGGCTGTGAACAAGCACTGGTGCAAGCTGCTGAATTCGCTATGCGACAAGTATATGTTTTTTCACTCTAGCTTAGCGCGATAGAAAACAAGCCTTACGGTCTTTGCGTCTCGGCGACGAAACTTTGGGATCTGCTCTCATGTCGGTTATTGAGTCTGTTGCAGTGTCATTGACTGATATTATTTCTCCAGGTCGCAAGATCGCCATCGATGCGTCCATGTGTCTGTATCAGTTTCTCATAGCTGTGCGCAGCGAAGGAGCCCAGCTCACTACTGTAGACGGCGAGACAACCAGGTACGTTTCCCGACTGTACAATTCCTCCGTTGTAAATTACATACTTTGTTGCGAGACAGTACAAAAGATTACGTTAAGAGCTAAATGGCGGTATAAATTTTTTCACGCAGCCATTTGATGGGCACGTTTTATCGCACCATACGCTTGGTGGAGCAAGGAATAAAGCCTGTCTACGTGTTCGATGGTAAACCGCCAAATCTGAAAAGCGGAGAATTAGCCAAGAGAGCCGAGAGGAGGGACGAGGCGCAGAAGCTCCTGCAGGCCGCTGAAGAAGATGGTAGTGACAAATTGTATCTTTCTACGGCTGTGATTGTACTCCGGAGCTTCATCTATGATGTACTCTTTGCGTTTAGAAACATTGTTTTGTAGCCAACAGATGTGTTTAAAAAATTTTGGCAAGTTGATAAATTATACACTGCACAGTCTGCATTGTCGATATTTGTTTTGCACACGTTTCAAATGTTTGCTTATACAAAACAGAATGTTTCTAGATGCATAGAGCACACTATAGATCAGGCCTGGAAATAATGCGTTGCGTTCTACGTGAGGAAGACCGCGAAAGATTTTCATAGCAGACATTTTTCTTTATTAAAGGAAATGTGGAAGCTATAGACAAGTTCAATAGGAGATTGGTTAAAGTTACGAAAACTCACGCTGACGAAGCTAAAGAATTACTTCAACTAATGGGAATACCGTATGTCGACGTAAGCATTTGCGTGGGATTGCAGTTTGTTCTTCTTTTTTTCTATTGATTCCTAATCGATGCTTTCTGTGCAGGCTCCTTGCGAGGCTGAAGCGCAGTGTGCCGCTCTAGTGAAAGCCGGTAAAGTCTTCGCCACTGCTACGGAAGATATGGACGCACTCACTTTCGGCTCCAACGTGTTACTGCGACGCTTAACCTTCAGCGAAGCCAGAAAGTTACCCGTGCAGGAGATTCATTTTGATAAAGTTCTGGCTGGTTTGGAACTGAATAACGAGGAGGTGTGCATTTGGATTGTCTTAATTATAATGCTAGTTCACTAATCATTCTAAAGCGCTGCATAATTTACAGTTCATCGACCTCTGCATTATGTTGGGTTGCGATTATACAAATAGTATCAAAGGCGTTGGGCCAAAACGAGCAATAGAGTTGATAAAAAATCACAGATCCCTCGAAAAAATTGTTGAAAATTTAGACACCAAGAAGTATCCCGTACCGGAGGATTGGAATTACAAAGACGCAAGGTCATTGTTTCAAGAGCCAGAAGTGTCGAATCCAGACGACATCCAGGTATTTTTTTTACATTGAATAGTTTTTCTTGGCCGCAGATGACGTGTATTGAATGTTCTTTTGTCTTGCAAGCTAAAATGGTCCGAACCGGATGAAGAGGGTCTGGTGAAGTTTTTATGCGGTGACAAGCAGTTTAACGAGGACCGGGTTAGAAACGGGGCTAAGAAACTTTACAAGGCCCGAAATACGTCGACGCAGGGCCGATTGGACTCGTTCTTCAAGGTCCTGCCGAACTCTACGCCGACTCCGAAGCGGAAGGTGAGATATTTCTCGAGCACTTTCAATATCGTTACTTTGTATCTCTGAATTTCAAATCGAATGAAACATTTTCTTATCACGTTGTTGCAGGCTGAAGAGAAAAAAACACCGGCTAAAAAGGCAAAGACAGCAGGTAACAGCAAATTTCGCGGTAAAGCAAAGTGAGTGATATTTCAAATTTGATAAAAATATACAACAATGCTAGTAGCGTACTTGTGTACAGAAATGTTATCTCGACGCAGTCTTGTACGCACGTTGCGCATTTATCTTTTATAAATCTCTCCGTAAAATGTGCAGTCTCAACTGATAAACACAGTATAACTTTATCTATTTATTTCGTAAAATATATACAAATATTCGTGTACAATATATATATATTCTTATAAATTGCATCGTAGCTTCAACAATAACACGTCTCTCCCTCTCTCGCGGCATATTTTTATAAAAATCTTCACAAACAACGTTTTATCATTTAGATTCATGCATCACATTTATTGTCGTATATCTTCATCGTTTTATCTTATTAATATAACTCTGTGAGGAATTTAGAAAAGGATTCTATGTCTTATCTATATATCACGTCAGTCTTTATTTTAGCACCAAGTACTTTTGAATTACCATTTCTCGGTAAGCAATGATGAAAAATGTTTATTAACAGTATACGGCAGTGATTACCCGCCGAAATTATACACTGTTATATACAAAATATACGTAGTCGCGATATAAATTTCTTCCAACGACATTGTCACTGAAACGTTATAATCGTACTACCAATAGAGTTCGGATCTAAGACGTGGTGCAACGCTCGCTCGATATTGTATGGCGCATACACCCTGTCCACAACCGTTTGCAAATGATTCCCATCGGTCAGCTCGCACAACGCTCGTAAATACGTGACGTTCAGCTTCGCCCCCTCCTTCCATTGATGCATGTTAAATCCGAACATGTACTACAATTTAAAGTCTCGATCAGTAATGCATCACAATCGACGACTATCGATTGGAATGAACTGGATTGAACCAATACCTGAACCAATAATTTTATCCTGACACAGCCAGCAAATATACTCCCACAAATAAATCCCAGCGAGTCCGACGTCAATTGCTCGGGGACAGTTGAGACATAGGAGCCATGAGGCAATAAGTGTTTCTTTAAAATATATTCTTGAAAAGGCTGAGTATCAGTATAAAAGATCGCATCGTACCTGCAACGAAATAAGCTCAATATAATTGAAGGACAACTAGCTTTTTTCACTGTTTCATTTAAATCAGGCAATTTGAAAAATATTATGGATCTCGCGCCGAGAACTTTCTCGTACTTATCGTGCAATTGTAATTCCTTCTCGACGTCGGTTTCGTTTATTACTATAACTTCGTCGGCACCCAATGCCTTCATCACAGGCACGGCGTCCGTTCGGCAAGCGGTTACTACATATCCGCCCCATAACTTAATTAATTGCGTCAAGATACAACCGATCGGAGTGCTTCCGCCAAAAACGAGAACTCTATAGCGATAATATTATTGCGTTAATCGATATTTCCGATACGAGAGCGAAGGGGGTGTCCAGAGCATTACCGTTTCCCTTTGGCGTTGCCTTCCTTGATGACGGATCTGTTAACTAAAGCGTCCCACGCCAGGCAACCGTTGTACGGTAAGCTGGCGGAGGCTTCGAAGTTACACGATTTAGGCCGTTTTGCTACTTGCGTCTCTGGAACAATGATATATTCCGCCATCGTGCCGGAAGCCCACGACGGCACGGCTAAGAACACCTCGTCTCCGATGTCGAAGTTGGCAACGCCTTGACCAATGTCGACTACCACCCCCGCGCAATCCCGCCCTAAAGTTACAGGCAGTTCTTTCTGTTTCTAAATACATACGTTCGTGCATTACAACGATATTGCGTCTGATATCGGCGGACACTCGGGGGAGGAAAATCTTACTTACTCCCGAATTCAGTAATCTTCTATAAATCCTAGAGTAACCGGAGCATATCTTCGTATCGATAACATTAAGCGAGGCGGCCTTAACTTGTATAAGCAGTTCGTTCGATTTCTTAATCGTCGGCATTTCGGAATCGTCTACCATCAACACACCCTGTAACAATAGTAAGACACGATATCTATGGGTGCTTTCCAGCAGGAGGCACTGATTGGCACAGTGCAGCGCAGAGAATCATTTCATCCTTATTTAATAATGGTACACGACCAAGATTAAACGATTCACTGTATTACACAGTCTCGCAACCATTCTGTCCTTCACTGTACCGTTGCTGGAAAGCACCCTATGTCTATGATCGAAACCATAGTACAACTAGTAGGTCCACTCCGTCATTTATTTCGTTTTGCGTCGATCCCTCCTGCACACCCGGCATTGTTCTGGGCAGACCAGTGAGAGAACAGTTGTATGGTAGTGTGGCTTTGGTGAGTACACACACACACACACACACACACATCGTTGGATCCTGCCCGAGTGCATGGCGGGATACCACGTGATCGGGGCCGCAAAGATCAAAAGGGGCCGGCGGAGAGTGGACCTACTAGTTTTACTGCGCTCGAAACTATATAATAGGATACATTGTACACGATATATATACCTCGATACCGTAGTAATGATGGCACGCAACAGTTTTTATATAATGTACGTGTCGAGAGGCGGGTTTCCAATTTACGCCGATGTAGTAGCCCGTCGCGGTTCCGATCATCAGGCCAGTCAGGCAAAACATCGCTTCTCTCCTCGACACTAGGTTGAAACATAAAACTTACGTTTAGCAAAGCGTCCATTTCGGTACTAGGGTCCGGTTTCACCAACGTTGTTTAACTTTAAGCTTACAGCTTCATTCGTTCGTCTCTTTCCAACGGTTGCTTTAGGGAGAGACAGACGTGAGTTAAACTGAGCTCAGAGTTGAGCGACGTTCGGTGAAACCGGGCCTGAGTAGAGAAACACGGCCTGTCGGGGCATTTTTGAGCGTTTCGACGTACCTTTGCTGGCGCACAAGGCCCCTAACTGGCGGTAAAAGTCTACCGTGTGCCATTGAGTACTGTAATATTGAAACTGAACCTCTTGCCACCCTCTCTGCACGGAGGCAGCCACGCGCAGCACGATGTCCTTGGCGTACCGTGCGTGCTGCTCGTCGCAAAGCTGCAGGATCAACTGTCGCAACTGGGCCAGCCATGCCGCGCACCACTGCTGTCCCTGTTGCGCCGCTACCGATGCCTGAACCTTTTCCCAAATATTTTTCTTTAGTACACTGAGACTTCAACGAATAATTACACTTGGTGCCGAGCGATTCGCACGTATACAATTAAGTTTGCGACGCCAAAATATTACATAATGTATTCAACTATTTATATAATGCCAAACCGTTCATCCTTTCATTCCGAGGAAGCTATGAAACTTATATAACTTGAATATATCACATGAGTACATAGGCCGTTTCTGTGCGCTGTGAAGTCGCGCGAGTTACACGAGTCGCAGCGTAACGCGAAATTCAAAAGCGCAGGACGGTGCGACAGGTCTCGGCTCCAAGTTAATTGAACAATTGCAACCGCAAAATATTACATAAAGCAAGCACGTCGGGGCAGGCGCGGGGAGATCTGAGGAGAATCGGATTACCTGCAACGTCTCGAACTGATTCGAGAGGTGGAACCAAACCTCGTCCATAATTTGTACACAACGAAAATGGAAGGAAAGAAAAAACAACGGGACGAAGAGAGAGAGAGGGGGGGGGGGCAACGAAGCTCAGCACATTTTACAACGCGAGAGTGCGCGAGGGCCCCGCGACAAACGTCAGTTGGAGAAGCACGGCGACGTTTATAAATAAACGATTAACGCATGGGGACGACTCGAAATAGAAATATCAGGTTTGTGCAGCAAGGCGCGACGATGACGGGCCGACGAGCATCCTCGCGGGTCAACGTCTCCCAACCGGACAGATAAACTCGCTCGTCATGTCGCGCTCGCAGCGGAGACTGAGCCCTCCTTTAAATCGACATTGGCACGTCGCGGATAGGTTAGCTCGCGCTCGTGCGTACACACATATGTACCGGTTACGGAGCGGACTTGTTTGGTTTCATTTCGGAGCGTGACGTAACGGCACGAGCGGCGCGTCGCGCGCGACTCCGCCGCTCACGTGACACCTCGTCGGCTTCGCGCCGTTCGAAGTTTTAAACGGATCCTAAAGTCACCTGTTTTACCGACACGGTCGAATATAGTTTTTTTTTGCGCTGGGGTGCTTTCGCGATCGACGTATAGGTCAAAATGATCCGTGCTATGATTGGTCAAATCTGGAATTTCATTGAATAAAATTTCAATGTGATGCTACGAAATTTCAGATTTGACCAATCATAGCACGGATCATTTTGGCCTACGTCGCGAAAGCACCCCTGGTAGATCTTTTTGTCAGCTTTTATCGGAGAGAAACCTGAGAGCGGCCACCGGGAGGGTCTCGGTCGCGGTCAGCGTCGATTAGTACGATACCATCGTACCATGTACAAAGTACCATATATCGACAACATATGTAGTAGATATGTTACCATATATCGGTAGAAAAACTTATGTGCAGCAGAAGATAAGCCTAGTGCAGACTGCACGCAGCAAGCAGCAAGCGTCGAGCAGCAGCCAATCAACGAAGAGATATTTTCTACGCCACTGCTGACGCTTCCGTAAAATTCAGCAGTGTTGGATCCTCGCTGCTCGACGCTTGCCACTTGCTGCGTGCAGTCTGCACTAGGCTATAAAGACGCATCGAACGACTTTGTTTGATGAGATAATGTAATACCAATTATAAGATAAATTATCGATTGCACGCAAGAGAAATTCGAGTAACGTACCGTTAGATGACAGCACGCAACAGTTTTTTTGAAGTTTCTTCTGCCGTAACAAATATAGCAGCAATGACCCGTAGTAATAAATAAATCATATGCAAGCTTTTTAATATAAACTTGATATAAATTAAAAAGGGGAATTTATTGACAACACTAAAATATGAACAAATTAACTTGTTAATAAGCTTGAAAAAATTATAAGATTATTTTCATTCTTCGTCTGGAGGATTTAACGTAAATTATTTTCGATTTTATTTTTAATTTAAACTCTCAGCCACGAAAAAACCTTCCAGTCTCTATTTGTTAAACTTTAATCAAATAAATTTTCTGCGATTAATTTTCAATATACAATCGTCAAATTCGTTTTATAAAGATCAAAAGTCAAAGCATATAAATTTAAATTCATTAAATTCATTACTGCGCATGACATAATTAAAGTTATATACAAACTTTTTAATAAAGTTGGTATTAAAGGACCAGTTTCAAGATAGGGAGGTGACTGAACTCTGGTTAACAGTTAACCGACGTTTGTGAATCTGACCCTAAAAAGGAGAATTTATTAACAACACTAAAATTAGCTTCTTAATAATCTTTAAAAAATTACAAGATCATTTCTTATTCTTCGTCTGGAGGATTTAACATACATTATTTTCAATTTTAATAAAATGTCTAATCATAGAATGAATAAACTTATGATCCTTTTGGATTCCGACTCTACGATCTTATGTATTTAACTGAGAAGAGAGTAGTATCTTTAAGAATGGTTTTCGAGTCGTGTTTAAAATTTCGTCGATTATTGAGGTTTATCAATCGCGGAAATTCGTGGAATTTCGGGCGTCGAGTGCCGAGCGCCGATTCCAACAAATGACGTAGCGTAAACACTTCGGTCGAAAACAGTCTATTCTGATTGTGCCGATATCGTATTATTCTTTCTCGATACGCGTTCGCGACAAATACGGGAAGAAACCGCTATGAATAATCAGCAATTTGCTATCGATGCTCGGTTAAACGGCAAGACAGATATCTCGCGCGATTCACACATGAAATCTGTACGTCCAAAAATCAAAACGCTAGCTAACTTGAAATTACTTCTTCATTGCGACTCATGATCATTTCAATTGCCAAGGACTTAGTTTCCTTTTTATTCTCACAGCCAAGATTGATCCATGCTAAAGCTTTACCACGGAATTTCATACATAAGTCGGACACAGAGCAGAATAAAATCGCATTGAACATAAATATTCATATTTCCGGATATGCAGTCAATAATATAACGATAAACGGGATAATAGCTATTTTATTCACTCAAACTTATTTCGGGACGATGCACGATTTGAAACCACAGCAAATAATTTATATACATGTATATATGTATATCCGAAAAGAAAGTAGCTCCTCAATCTTAAAAATATACGAATCTTCCAATACAGAAATTTAACTGGTGAGATATTAATCGCCATTTTTTTTATTATACATACATATGTTATGGTGCGTAATTTTTATGTCATACATATTCAATTTTACATATATCACGTAATATATATCATGTAATATGTAGAGGAAAGTCCCCTATTATGAGACAAGTCCCTAATATGAGACAGCGAGGTTTCTGTTAAATTAGCAAGCATCGCCCTATATCGGTTCCACCATGAATTTATTGCTCACTAGAAGTGAAATCTGTTTAGCGGAAAATTCATCGTTAGATCGCGTAATCGTCGTGACTTGCGATTGAATTTGGACGTTGAAAAGCCGCTATCTCACATTAGAAGCCTATCTCATAATAGGGGACTTTCCTCTAATATCACTAATGCTATGTGCGTAATTGCGACAATATACATGTAATTGCGTAACACAGAGATATTTCTTTCGCTGCGTTCCGTAACACGCATATACGTGCAGTTATCTGTAATTCATGTATTACGTACAGTAATGTACACTATAGACAATGCATGCATAAGCGTGTTGCAGAACGCAGCATTTACCCCGGGATCCCAGGTAGCACACGGCGATACATATACATTTTATATACGTTTCCGAAATCGTTTATAAAGTATTGGACACGTTTGAGAAATGTATTTAAGGCCTGGTTTCACCAACGTCGCTTAATCTTATTGTTATAGTTTAATTCACGTTTGTCTCTTTCTAAAGTAAAGCCTGTTCTACAGTGTGTTCTTTGCGTCTAGAAACATTCTATTTTAGAGAAACAAATCGAAACGCGTAAAAAATTCGTCGACAATGTACGATTGTACAATGTATAATAGTTATCTACTTGCACGAATTTTGTAAACGTATTTGCCGACCACGAAACAGAACGTTTCTAGACGCAAAGAACACATCAGGCTTTACGTTAGACAGAGACAAGCGTGAATGGAACTAATAGCGAACCCGGTTGCTAGCACTGAGGGTTATTTACAATCAATTATATTTCAGAATCGTCTTAAAGATTTCTTGAAACATTTCGTAGTAAAGTGATCTGTGTAGCATCCATACGGATTATGTTCTGGCTAAACACTCTTTGAACATGTATTTAGGACAAAGTTAAACATAAGAATTGACTATAAACTGGCCTTAGTTTGCGCTCAGTGCGCACTAGTGCTAGCAATCGAATTCGCTACAAGATTAAACGACGTTTGGTGAAACCGGGCCTAAAGCGTATATCAACGTCGCTTAACTTTAAGCTTAGTTTAAATCGTTCTTTGTCTCTTTCCAATTGTTGCTTTAGAAAGAGACAAACGTGAATTAAACCGAGATTAAAGTTGAGCGACGTTCGATGAAACCGGGCCTTAAACCGACGGCACACGATACTATTTTTCCTACTGGGTTGCTTGCGAGAGCCAATCGGGATTCAGTCTTAAGTCATCTGCTCTAAAACTCTGCATCCTGATTGGCTCTCGCAAGCGATCCAGTAGGAAATCTAGTATCGTGTGCCGTTGGCTTAAAGCCCGTGTCACACTACGCATTGCAGATCGCGAATCGGATTGAGATTGAGGGTCGCGGATCGCATTTCAGCCAATCAGACGAGACAGCCTCGTATCCGATTGGTTGAATTGCGCTCCGCGATCCGCAATTTCAATCCGATCCGTGATCCACAATACGTAGTGTGACACGGGCTTTAGGCTGCGTTCGGGGAGACGCTAAGTACGAAAAGCGTCTTCTATCTTTCTTCAACATATGACGAGCAACGAAGATAGACTGATACTTTCGGCGCTAATAGGGGCTCTGCGAACGCGCCTTTACTGCGGCTGCTTGGAATTCGATTCTCTGTCTTCTCTTCTTCTCTGTCACTCTTATTTCAGCCCCTAAAAAGGTGAGTCGCGATGTAAACACGCGCGAGCCGTTGATATCACGCTGCGTAGTAAGTACGTGCTCAGTTCCGGAAAGGTCGTGACGCGTTGTCAAAGTCGTCGTGACATTGGCCCGCGGAGTATCGCGCCGCTCGGCTTTTGGTGAAAAACACGCGTGCGGTCGCGCGCTCACTCACACTTCGACGGCGGGGCGTCGAGCGAACGGTCGCGCGAATCAACGTTCGCGTCTCTCTCGCGCCGCGACCAGTGACTATTTTCACGGTGTACCAACGATCGGCGATGCCCAGTTGGACTCGGCGAGGGATCCGGCGCGATTGCTCCGAGGAAAAGAGGAAGGCGACGCTCGACGCAGTACCGAAATGCGGACGGGAACGTGTGTGCGTGTGTCAAATAAAGTCCACACTTCGTATAAAGTGCGCCCAAGAGTGTCGCGAGTGCGGCCGCGTTTGATCGTTTTACGTTGAGCCGCGTGTGCGCGTACGAACGGCGGGTCTGACCGCGGGTTTTCTCAACTCCGACGTTGAATTGTCGGCGCAAAAGTGTCGCGGCGTGGCGTATCCTCGACACGTAGAAGAGTAAAGCGCGTGAACGCGCGTCGCGAGAGTGTCAAGTGGCCGCGACCAGTGACTATTTTCACGGTGTACCACACCGATCGGCGATGCCCAATTGGACTGGACGGGGGGGGGGACCCAGCGCCATTGCTCCAAGAAAAGGAGGAAGGCGACGCTCGACGCGGCACCGAAATGCGGACGGGAACGTGTGCGCGCGTGTGTCAAACAAAGTCTATACTTCGTATAAAGTGCGCCGAGAGTGTCGCGAGTGCGTCGCGTTTGATCGTTTTACGCCGAGCCGCGGGTACGTGTACGAACGGCGGGGTCTGAGTTTTCTCAACTCCGACGTTCAATTGTCGGCGCAAAAGTGTCGCGGCGCGGCGTATCCGCCACACGTAGAAAG